TATACCTAATACTTGTTGAGTTTGACTTTTTCGATTTAAATTGGATAAAGTTTGAGTTTTAATTAAATAAAAACCGTAAAGTATTTTAATATAAAAAATGACTTTATTGGATTTATCGTATTGAAAACTTTCAAAAATGTATTTCATTAAACTAATATGTAATATAAATTAATGGTAATTGGAGGTAATGTTATTTATAATCATTTTATAACAATTACATTAATTTTGCAATGCATGTTAAACTAATACTGCATCCGTCCCAAAAAGATTTACACGTTTCAAAAGGAATTTGTCCCACAATCCATTACCCATTTCTATTAAAAAACCACTTTTACCCGTTACTTTTTCAAACCCTACCTATCACATCATACCTTTTTCATAATAATCTACACATCACATCCTACTTTTACGCATCACATCAAAGGTATTTTTGGAAAGTCAACACAAAATTATCTCTCCCTTAATTTCAACTTTAGTCAAAATGGGTAACACTTTATGGGACGGAGGGAGTATCTAATATAGAGTACACATTTCGTTTAATTGATTATAAGGGATTCTCAAGTTTGACTAAAAAAATTTTAAGTAGATAAATACTCAAAAATAATGAAGATAATACCCTATTTAGAAGTTGGTGGTTGGCTCTTGGCTGTTAACTATTTGTGTTGGCTGATTTGAATGATTGGTGGAGTTAGTTGTTTTGACCAATTGATTGCATTAGTAGTTCACAAAAAAATATTTGGCAAACTTAGTTTCTTTTAAATAACTGTTGTAGATGTAATTATAATTAAAAACTTAATTTTATGTATATGATTTGTATAATATAACATAATTTATATAAAATTTATAATATTTAAGTTTTATAATATGTTAGACTATTTAAAAAATTATATTTATTATAAAAATTATTTGATATGTAAGTTTTTTTTTTTATTTTTGTACCAATTTTCAAATAAAATAATTTTATTAAAAATATTCTACCTCGTAAATTCTAAGTGAATTTCTTTTGGGGAATGAGAAAGTAGTTATTATTTACTCAATTTTTTATTTTCTTCCCATTAACTAATTAATTTCATATTTATACAATAAATAATTATACTCTAATGACCAACAACCAACTCGAAAGGCTACTCCTCAGCTCCTAGCTTTTCATATTTTGGCTTTTCAAACTCTAACAGCCAACTTCAATAGCCATTTACGAAGTATTCTATTTGATTGTTTCACTGGTCAAAACAGCCAAAATTAATCAAAAGATCGAAAGCCATCTGAAAAGCTAATATCCAAACATGTGCAATAACATTTAACATACGTATAATTTGGGTTTGCCTTTTTCATTTTATATTTAATTATTAATGAGTTATAATAGAATGAAAGTATTATATTAACAATAAATATATAGAATGAGTTTGCCTTCAAAAAAATCCTCTTAAGAATGTGCCTTTTTCGTTTTGATGAGTTTGGCTTTTGGCTGTCAAACTTCTTAAACTTCTAAAATCAATTAACTAAAAACTATACAGATAATTGTCAAAAATTAAAGTTTAGGTTTATGAGTAATTTAGGTAAATATGACTAAAACATAATGACTTTCTCAATATAGGATCATATGTTTTTATTTTCTAATGTAAAACCATTAGTCATTATTCATTAGTCATTATTTAAATAAATGTCCACCCTGGACATTATTCCTTCCACTATACATTATTAAGTCCTATTTAAGGAATAAAAAAGTTTTAGACCTACACTAAAAAATGACTTGTGTTTTATTCCTATTTAGTGCAAATTTCAGTACGTTTATTATAAAATTACCAAAATCAATTAAATTAGACTTATCCAATAAAAGATATTTTATTGATTTTATTTAATTAATGATGATTAATTGGCATGCATTCTTAATTAAACTAGGGACGGTGAAAATGCCTTCACGGTGGTGCGTGTTCAACGGCGGCACCAGCAACGCCACGAAAGTGGCGGAGCAAGTGGAGCTAGCATGCAGCGCCTCCGAC